ATTGCGCATGTTATTTACACGGAGACCGTTTTCAAAAAATCTGCACTTAGAAACCTGCACTTTGAGTTTTCAAAAATGTGCGTTTTCAGGCCTCCATAACGTTGTTGTTGCATAAATGAATGGCCAAAATGCATTAAAAAAGTGTAAACGTTTTAGTTGAAAACTGTGTTGTGTAAAGAGCCCAATCTTGCCCTCCATCACCAACCACCCTCGCCTCTTTAGACTTCCTTAGAACTTTGTTTTTTCTGAATGAATTATTAGAAATATATCATTTAAACAACCGATTCATCATAAATTGGACCTTGGTTTTGTGACCCAAAAAGTCATGCTGGATCAAATTTAAAAGCATATGTGTTACTGTGTAAGCATTGCACTTTTTCACAGCTCTCTGACCGTTTTGCAAAAAAACACATGCTGCAAGTTTCACTGGTGTTCACTTAAGCTGAATATGTCAAAAACAATGTGCTATGAGGGTACAAAAACACCGATGACAAACACACACACACACACACACATTAGCTTACTGACTAACCCCTGACCAAATTTTTGCTGAGAGACAGTTGTCTCTCAAACATGATTCAGGGATGTACTCTTTCTGACTCTTTCTATCATCAAACCCGCTGTGAGAGGAAATGACCTTTACTGTTCCTTCAGCACATAAATTGTTCTTGTGTCTACTGTAAGTAACAGTACATACACTGTAAAAAATAACCTGAAACTACTTAAAAATGTAAGATAAAATCACTTAAACAAAAATTTAAGTTGAAATTAAACAAAAATTTAAGTTGAAATTACTTAAATGCAAGTTAAAATTACTTAAACAAAAATTTAAGTTGAAGTCACTTAAAAATGTAAGCTAAAATTACTTAAACAAAAATTTAAGTTGAAATTACTTAAATGTAAGTTAAAATTACTTAAACAAAAATTTAAGTTGAAATTACTTAAATGTAAGTTAAAATTACTTTAACAAAAATTTAACTTGAAATTACTTAAAAATGTAAGTTAAAATTACTTAAACAAACCAACTTGATTTGTAGTTGAAAGTAATTTCAACTTAAATTTTGTTTAAGTAGTTTCAACTTAAATAACATTAAACTTAAGAAAAAGTTGAATCTATACCTTCTAAAAAAGTTAAATATTGCTTAACTTCTTTTGAGTTAAAGCAATGTAAACATATTTTGTCATAACTTATTGATCATATAATGTTTTACAGTGTGTCTACTGATACTTACACACAATAACAATATAAAAAATTGTCAAATTTGTCAAACTGTCTTTTGTTATTACTGATGTTGCAATTTGTTATTTTTGCTGCAGCTATCGTCAGAATTTGTTTTGCAACACAGTCATGAGCAAATACAGTGATGTGAATAAGTTTGGACACCCATGCTAAAGTTGCCTAAAAAGAGGAATAAAAAATAATCTTTTGGATATTGATCTTAATGCCTTAATTAGAAAAGTTAGGAAAACTCCAACCTTTAAGGACACCAATTTACTTTGTGAATGAATAAATGGTTTTTCCTTAAAATGCCGGGTGCATAAGTCAGGACACCCCTATGCTAAATTCCCATAGAGTCAGGCAGATTTTTATTTTTAAAAGCCAGTTATTTCATGGATCCAGGATAATATGCATCCTGATAAAGTTCCCTTGGCCTTTGAAATTAAAATATCCCCACATCATCACACACCTTCCACCACACCTTATGCACCCTGTATTTTAAGGAAAAACATTTATTTATTTATGAGACATTATTCATTCACAAAGAAAATTTGTGTCCTTAAAGGTTGGAGTTTTCTAATTAAGGCATTAAGATCAATATCCAAAAGATGATTTTTTTTTTTATTCCTCTTTTTAGGCAACTTTAGTATGGGTGTCCAAACTTATTCACATAAGTACATGGGAATTAAAGAGTAAACACCATACCAACTTTTTTTTAGTTAATGATCTGTAAGAATGGATCTTTATTAATACTGGTCATTGATTCGAGTAACTTTTTTGACATTTGTTTATAAAGTGTTCTATTTCTACAATATATGGTGTAAAAACATCTTAGTGCTGCCCTCTTCAGGTTGAACGGTGGCTACTGCAGTTGAATTATCCATTGGATGTTCTGCACCTCGTGATGTAGAGTGTTTTAGCATCTATTTCGTCCCCTCTATCTCCGCTGGGGTCCGCCCACTTTTTCAGCATTTTTCAAATATTGCCAGTGGGTGGAGTCAAGCTCTGACCTGGGGTTTAGTTACCCTTTAAGTTCTCTTCTAGGTTGTTTTTAACTTGGAAAACCCTTATGTTTTTCCAAACTTCCGTGAGTTTCTTTCTATCATGAGGTAAGCACACCTTTCGGACTCAGGACTTGATGAAGTGGTTCGGCAGTTGGTTGGAGAAAATGAACAGCTCGGATCTAATGCTGTTCGGGCCAGACTTGCTGCAATGGGTGTTCGAGTGCAGAGAAGGAGAGCACCTTCTCACGACTGCACCAGAGAACCCAAAGTGTTGCAGTCCCAACTCTCCGTGGCACATACCACAAGCTGATCAGGTAGATATGGACGATAAATCGATTGATATAGTTGCACGGTAGAGCCCCCCTGGAAATTATGCAAAAATTGTGTAATCATAGAAGCCTAAATTAATTTATTTAATCCTAACACAGAAGACAAATAACAGTTTTGTCTCATCTTTAGGTGGATCCATGGGGGATCTGTGGCTTCAGCAGACTGGACAACAACAGGGCTGGCACTGGCAGGGTATTCCATCTTGAGTTAGATAGGAGAAAACAGTACCGTTTGTATGTTTATGAACATTTATCGTGGGTCTGAAAGAGGTAGAGCTATCCGCGGTAGAAGTGTCCACAATCAGAGGATCGAGAGACTTTGGGGAGATCTTTGGCGGGGTTTGACTAATGTATACCACCAGCTTTTCTCCTTTCTGGAGAGTGATGGAGTCTGACTGTAACAGCGAGCTACACATGTGGGCAATGCATTATGTGCACCCTCCACGGATTAACCGGGACTTGGAGGTTTTCAGGGAACGGTGGAACAATCATGGCTTGCGCCACTGCTGGTCACCACTCATCATATCAGATTTTTGTCAGAGGATGTCTGATGATGCATTTCCCTCAAGATGGGGCATTTCCTGCTGAGGATTGGCAGGAAGTTGTAACTGTTCCTGCTAACCAATTCAGTCCAACCCAAGCACAGATGCAACAACTGCAGGATGTGGACATTCTTGCAGGACCTGTTGGTAGTCCGGCTATTGATGCACTTCAAACTGTGATTAATTTTACATCGTCTCATCCCAAGTCGTCATATAACATCTTAGTGTTAAAAGACAAGAAAAAAAAAATTTGTTTTGGGAGTTTTTTCGGGTCGAAATTTTGAGTTTCTCCGATCTTCTCGAAACTCTGAATTCTGATAGAGGGCCATGAGACTTAGACCTGAGTGCAAAAATGGAGGCTCTAGACCCTTCCTGAGCTGAGATATTGAGATCCCACGTAGCATTTATCCCATTTTAATCCATTACGGCATCCAGGCCACAGCGTCTTGTGAACAAAAGGTAGAGTGGAAAAGGTCAGGGGTCGTGTGAAATGGTCCGAACATTTCCACGTACCCGATTGACTTGTTTCACATGATGCACCTGGAACACACACACACACAATACACAGTCAAAATCAATCCTCCGTCCTAAGTGCTGTTCTCAGATCACTGAGGAATATCGTGTTTGCTCACACAGATCTCCTGAGGTCTGACTAATTCATGTGGTGAACTTCCTCATTTTATGGGGACAGAAATTCTTAGGGTCTCAACCCTCATTCCCTTTATTTTTAGTAGAACTTAAATTACTTTTCAATTCTCTTACCCTGATAGACAATAAGAAGTGTAATAGACTTTTAGAGTGCTATAAAAATATATTTGGTAAGCTTCCCTGATATTATAGTGATTAATTTACCCAATATTTATCGGCTGTGTAAGAGGAATTTACTATTTATGTATTCTGTGGCTAGCTATTTTTATTTATTTATTTATTTATTTATTCATTTATTTTACTTAAATGGAATAATTGTAATGCATATGTATGGATATGTTTGTGTGTGTATATATGTCTATATATTTGTTGTTTTATTTTTGATGCTTATATTTTATGATATGAGAAATTTGTTAACCTTTTTATTTCTGTTTGGTGTTGAAAGTATCTGACTAATTTTTGTAATTTACAATAAAAAAAAAGCTCTTAAAAAAAACAGCACTTAATAACACCACACAGCTTTAATAGTGTTATGAATGCTAGATAATTATAGAATCTAAAAATATTTACTTATACCAGATAGTGATGCAAACAAATAAACATGGCAACAGGACGTTCTGGCAAGGTTCTCTCAAAATTATGAACAAACGTTTTTCCAGAAACATAAACAGAGGGTTTGTTAAGAGTCTGTTCGGTAAAACTTGTTTAAAATGTAACATGTTCCAATAAAGTTTGTAAAGTGATAATTTTAAGTTCTATTAAACGTTTTAAACACCTGGACACTGTTCAGGAAACATTCAGAAATAACGTTTCATAATTTATTTGGAATGGAATTTATACACTTTTTATTCATAAGTATGCAGTGTCAAACTACATCTCTGACGTTTATAACAAAACAAACCGTTTGAAAATCGGTAGAAAATTGAGCAAGTTATGGTCATTTAAATAGTACACGCACCATTAACACAATGTTACGAGTGAGCGAGCTGCCTGTGACAAGATGGCCGCCAGGTGCAGACGTAGACCTCCATTGGCCAGCAGCGTGGACGACATATCTATAGCCTTTATAGACCATTTCACAAGATGTAAACAACACTGGTCCAGAAGCACTTCCTGTTTCAGTTTTTTAACACTACATAAAGCTGGGATAAAATACAACCAACAGAACATTTAAAACTGAATCAAAACGTTAAACAAACATCTTTAAGATGTTTTCTTTACATGTGAAATAAAGAAAACAGTTACAAACTGAAACAGGAAGTGCTTCTGGACCAGTGTTGTTTACATCTTGTGAAATGGTCTATATAGATATCTATGGGTAAGATGGCTTCTAAAACCATTCCAGCAGCTGATTGGTGGTTCAACGGCTGATTGGATCTTGGAGCTCCTCCTACTCGTCAGTGGCTGCAGCTGGCTGGGCTCTTTAAAAAGCCTAGTTTTGGATCTGTTCACTCTCTGCTCCTGCAGTTGGTGTCTTTGTGGCCCTTTGTAGGGAACTTTCCCTGATAGCAAACTGACATTGAATTAATGTTGATCTGGCATTGTTTCGCTTATCGAATTAAAGTTGAGCCAACGTCAGACGTGCCATTCTTCTGATCTGGATCTGAAAACAAGACGACTGCACTTTCACCGCTGCTTTTGTTTCCAGGTCGGTCATAGTCATTAGACGTGTGTGGCTCTTTTTGTCTTGGTTTATTGCATGTTAAATGAAGTTCTCTACAGGCTTCTCGGGTAGATGGAGATTCGGTGCAGAAGCTGAAGGTTGAAGGTCTTCAGAGCGACTGAAGAGCTAAATCATGTTCAGACGTTACCTATTTCCAATCCAGGACAAACGGGTGAGCTGTGAATGATCTTGGTTGAAGCATCATTTTCAAATGCATTATCCAATGTATGTGAGTTTGTTTGTCTTTGCAGTTCATTTCAGAGTTGTCTCCATGAAACCCAACTTTGTGCCTTTTGATCAAATGGTAAGACCAGATGTTTCACCATTTTGAGTTTTCTGACCATAAATGAAAAGCAGGTTGTTTTAAGATGAACACATTTCAACTTCAATGACTGCTTTTAAATGTTTATTATTTCTGTTTTTTAATTGTCTATCTTCGTTCTCCTACCAGATGAATGCCATGGGCTGTGCCTCTCTTACTGTTGATGCGTCAGTGTTTTTCAACCCCAACGTTGAAGAGCAAATGCAAGACACATTTCTTGTGAATGATACTGAGGAGAGAACAGGTGAGCTATTGGCTGATCTGAACCATATACTCTTTATGATCTTTAGAAGACATTCACTTTAAGCCACAAAGTTGATGTTCTCTACTGTTTGGATTTTCTCTCGCAGATGTAATGTGTCAAAATCTGCAACGGTGTCCATTATGTGTCTAGTTGGCAAAGTCACATTTGTGGACCTCTTGGTTCAATGCTTAATGGAAAGGTAAGCAAAATGTCATCCCTTATTGAAGAAGCCTTCAAATTGGTTCCCTTTCCTAACCATGATCATTCCTAACAGATCTACGTGACTCGACAAAGCTGTATATCTCTTGGAGGGGAGCAACTGGCCCAACAAACTGCTTTCGAATCATCCACAAACAAGAATGGATGGGCTGCGTTCTCCCTAAACACTGTTAATCTTAAGGCTGATCTGAATCTGGTATGTTGATGATGGATAAATTATATATTTGGGAAAATAAAGTAAAAAAAAAAAAAAAAAAAGGAAAATAATAAAGTAGTGTTTAAAGTCTAGTGTCTTTTTTTGTGTGTAATGGTCTTTTTTTGTGTGTTTTAATGGTCTAGTTACTGAATGTGGTGTTTGAGGTTTTTTCATATAAAGGGTTTTTTCTTTAGGTTTTTTTGAGATTTTTTATTGAGAAGAGAAGTTGCTCATAAAAACCTGGAAAGAGAAGTTGCTCAAAAAAAGCTGAGAAGAGAAAGTTCTCAAAAAAGCTGAGAAGAGAAGACTGATGCTTCTCTTAATGTAGAGTGTGTTTTAATGGTCTAATAACTGAATATGTATTTTTTTTTTTTAGATTTTTCCTTTAAAGGTTTTTTTGAGGGTTTTTTTGAGAACAGAAGCTTCTGTTTGTGTAAAATGTGTTTCAATGGTCTAATAACTGAATGTGGTGTTTGAAGGTTTTTTTTTAGGGATTTTTTTTTTAGTTTTTTTTGGGGGTTATTTTTAGGTTTTTTTTATTTATTTATTTTTTTGTCTTTTTTTGAGTTTGTTTTTTTAGGTGTTTTTTTTTTAGAAGAGAAGCTTCTCTTAGTGTTGAATGTGTTTTAATAGTCAAGTTGCTGAATATGTTTTTTTTTTTAGTTTTTTTTTTTTTTTTTGCCTTTTTTTGAGTTTGTTTTTTTAGGGTTTTTTTAGAAGAGAAGCTTCTCTTAGTGTAGAATGTGTTTTAATAGTCAAGTTGCTGAATGTTTTTTTTTTAGTTTTTTTTTTAGGGTTTTTTTTTAGTTTTTTAGTTTTTTTGCCTTTTTTGAGTTAGTTTTTTTAGAAGAGAAGCTTCTCTTAGTGTAGAATGTGTTTTAATAGTCAAGTTGCTGAATATGTTTTTTTTTTTTTGAGGGTTTTTTTTTTTGAGGGGTTTTTTTTTTTGAGAAGAGAGGACTGATGCTTCTCTTATTGGTAGAGCTTAGGACTGATGCTTCAACACGTCAAGCACATACAGCTTAAGACTCAAGACTCAACTGTCATCTATTATTATAGAGCTTAAGACTCAAGACTCAACCGACATCTATTTTTATAGCGCTTAAGACTCAACATCATCTATTTTTATAGAGCTTAAGACTCAAGACTCTTGACATCTATTTTTATAGAGCTTAAGACTCAACATCATCTATTTTTATAGAGCTTAAGATTCAAGACTCAACCGACATCTATTTTTATAGAGCTTAAGACTCAACCGACATCTATTTTTATAGAGCTTAAGACTCAACATCATCTATTTTTATAGAGCTTAAGACTCAAGACTCTTGACATCTATTTTTATAGAGCTTAAGACTCAACATCATCTATTTTTATAGAGCTTAAGACTCAAGACTCTTGACATCTATTTTTATAGAGCTTAAGACTCAACATCATCTATTTTTATAGAGCTTAAGACTCTTGACATCTATTTTTATAGAGCTTAAGACTCAACCGAAATCTATTTTTATAGAGCTTAAGACTCTTGACATCTATTTTATAGAGCTTAAGACTCAAGACTCTTGACATCTATTTTTATAGAGCTTAAGACTCTTGACATCTATTTTTATAGAGCTTAAGACTCAAGACTCTTGACATCTATTTTTATAGAGCTTAAGACTCAAGACTCTTGACATCCAAGTAAGTATCCAAGTACTTATCCAAGTGTTTAAAGTATCCAAGTAAGCATCCAAGTGTTTAAAGTATCCAAGTAATTATAAGTATCCAAGTAATTGTCCAAGTGTTTAAAGTATCCAATTAAGTAATATCCAATTAAGTAATTAGGTAAGTGTCCAATTAAGTAATATCCAATTAAGTAATTAGGTAAGTGTCCAATTAAGTAATATCCAAGTAATTATCCAATTATATTATTATATTATTATATTATTAAACGTCGCGAAAATTAATGTTTAAGCAGTATAACCGCAGCGACCGGGGTTCCGAAACCTCGGGGGGGGGACACACACACACTACCCCCCCCTTTGGTCTTTTGGGTGTGCAGACTCGTCGGGACCGGTTGATTCCTCTTGGCTCCCTCTGGTTGCTGGTCCTGACCCGGGATTGAACCATTAACCTTTGGAAGGCGAAACGAGGCCTCATCCACTATGCCACCAGAGCCTGCACGCTTCTAACACTTCTCTTCGTACGTTTATCTTTCGAAACGGAGTCTAAACGCACAAACGCAACAAGAAGCTGGAATAGAACCGGCAACCTCTCGCTTCAGAGCCGGTTCCGCTACCACTGCACCACTGAAGATGACACGGTTCTGACACTTCTCTTCGTACGTTTATCTTTCGAAACGGAGCCTAAACGCAACAAGAAGCTGGAATAGAACCGGCAACCTCTCGCTTCAGAGCCAGTACCGCTATACCACTGCACCACTGAAGACGAGACAGTTCTAATACTTCTCTTCGTACGTTTATCTTATGGAGGAATTTTAACAGTGTTTAAGTTGTTTTTTTTTTTTTTTTTTTTTTTTTTTTTTTTGGAAGACGGCACGCTTCTGAAACCAACTCGGCACGCTGACTTTCAACCGTCAGAACCGTGCCGTCTTCAGAGGCTCAGTGGTAGCGGAGATACTTCTCTTCGTACGTTTATCTTCCGAAGCGGAGTCTAAACGCACCAAGAAGTTGGAATAGAACCCTTAACCACTCGCTTCGGAACCGGTACCGCTACCACTGAGCCACTGAAGATGACACGGTTCTGACACTTCTCTTCGTACGTTTATCTTTCAAAACGGAGCCTAAACGCAACAAGAACCTGGAATAGAACCACCAAACCTCTCGCTTCAGAGCCAGTA